GAGACGCTTTTCTTCTTAGAGTTTGTCATCGTGCAGCTGCTGCAGGACGTTTCATTATGTGACAACATTTCAACTAAAAGTGACAGAACACTCTGCAGGCATCAAACACATTTTTGTGATTTGATATGATGGGCCTAACGTCAGAAACCATCATGGTGGTCCGTGGGAAAGGTTTGAGGTGGTTTAGACGTTATAAAGACGTTAACTCAGACACCTTCTTCTTATTGAAGTTGAACTAAAAGCTTGAATTTGGTGCGTGTTTATTCTCTGTAATACTGAGTTGTATGTGTTTTTGTGAGCATGGGTTCGACTTACCTGTTAGCCTTGAGGTTTTTAAGGCGAGCCTCCAGGTCATTGAGCAGGTTGACCTTCTTGCTGCACTGAGAGCAGTAGACGTCCATCAGTTCACCGGTGTAATGCTGACGCACCTTACGGGGAGTCTGGCCAGCACTGTAAACACACAGACACACACACACACCGTTCTTATCGTCCAAGGCGCTCAGAAGAAGTAAATCCAATCTAACTGGCTTTCATTACGTGTGAGAACATGCAACTACTTTCAGAGCGTGTACAGAAATGAGGCCGCCAGGACAAGACACTTCGAGAAGTGACATAAATAACGCCAATAAAACTGAAAGAGGAACAAAGAGCGATGTCAAAGACTGAGAAGGAGAGTACAACTCTTATCATTAATGAGATTATCTACATTGTCAGGGCCAAATGATGTGCTCAGAGAAAATGAATACCTGAAAATATATCTTGCAGTCCAAGTATAGTTTGTTGTTTTACAGAATTTAGAGGGGCAGATATATGTAAAGTAAAGGCACTTAAGGCAGCAAAACAAAGAAGTCATGTAGTCATGTTTTGCCAAAGAAAGTAGGAAAAAATGTTTAATACATCATCACTTTCAAGGTTCAACATAGACAAGAAGGCACTCTTAATGATTGTCCAATAACATCATAAAAATGATGTCATTGTTTCCTCCCAGCGAACTGTTATTAAAGTCAACACCCAGCCCAGAGTTTTTAAATATAAACCACAATACCTTTATGGTTTAGGAGGCCCTCCACCATTATATATATGAGTGTACCTTTAACCCACTTTGTACTGTAGTCATTCAAACTTCTGTCCCATGCTGAGCGGTCTAAGACTTCCTGTAAATCCAGGCCTCATTTTGAATTTAAATCTCCATGCCGACTCCATTTGGGGAGTTTTGTCTGCTTGGTATGCGTGGAAGGAGCATGGAGCGGTATTGCCTCTCTATCAGGCGGGAGACTTAATCCTATTAAACACAGGCCTTTGATGAATATTAATGCTACCTTAAGGGCAAAAAAAAAAAACTCTGAAGCTTCACTTCTGGAGTCAAGTCTCCGAATAATACAAGTCAGGTAATGATTGTGGAGCTCACAAACTGGAGCCTTGACTCTGGAACTGCTGGAAGTGAAGCAACAAAAACTGATGAATGTCTGCATCATAACTCAACCTATTAGCAACAATAGAAACGTCCATTAACAGATGAATTTTTTAATTATATGCAGTGGTTTCCAACCTCTGGTCAGCAGACTGATACAGGGCAGCCAAAGATTTGCTAGTGGGCCTGTAGAAAAGCTATGATTCATCAAGCTAGTTGAGTAATTAATTACCTTCATACTGCAATTTTCCTGAACTATTTTTACCCTCCCTGCCACTCCCTAAACAATGCAACAAGGATTCAGATTGAAGTCATTAGTAAATGAGGTCTGTTTGTCTTAGCAAAACAATTAAAATGTACACTCCATAGCTGTTTTCAATCAAGTGATTATGACCATTTCTAAAACATTTCAAGACAGCCTGCCTCTGAAATCGTCCCGAGATGCTTATTCACATGCCTGTAACTATAATGACTGACATTTATAAAATTGTTTTGTCTTGATTGGTTGAATTCACAAGTGGAAAAGAACATACTGGTGAGAAAAAAACAATGAAGCAGCTTCATTATGTGCACAAAGAGCACAAGAGTCACTCATCGGTTGCGTGACAAAGATGAAATGTGAATATTTTCTGCTGCATTCACACGTTGGCTCACCCTGACTTCACACAGACATTTCACTCTGGGATTTACAGAGGAAGTTGGGTTGAAAAATTCAGCTGTGTGTGTTCACACGTTCAGCCAAGATTTGTGCGTTGTGTGAAAATACCACCTGTTTTATTTTGCAAAAGGAGACTTGTATGAAAAGCAAACAAACATGACTTCATGATCTCAGGGAAGGTTTGAGGAGGACCTTCGACAAGGTTGGGAATCACAGCAGCAGCAGAACTAAAATATTCTTGTAAATATGGTAAGCTTCCTGTTTGTAATCTATTTCATCCAATCATCTGTTTAAGTAGCAGATAAAACTTAAACTTTCTTACCTAGAGGGAACAGATGAGCCGAGATCGGAGTATCCGTTTGTACGGGTCTCGTCGTCTGGACAGGGGCTGCTGGGAGTGTAGTCTGGTTCCTCTCCTTCTCCGTAGTCCTCAAACTGCTCCTCGTTCAGAGAAGCTGAAGAACGTGTCGATAGGTCGGATGTCACAGAGATGCTTGTGTGACCAATTCTTAGGAAAAAACAGAGAGAGGTCTGTGGTGAAAAAAAAAATCATTTCATTCTTCATTTTGGTGAATCTGAAAGGAAGGTAAAGGAAGCCGTGCTAAAGATCTCTCATATTGATAATAACAAATGTAGCCTCTAGTTTATTAGCTGCTATTTGACTTTAGGTCTTTCATAGACTATTGGACAATACAGTGAACACAGCGGGGAGAGGAATAATGCTCGAGAGGAGAACTGGCGGTGGCCTTAAGAATTTGGCTTTTAATTTACATTAATGAATCCATATCTTAAATTTTGAGTCTAAAAACAAGGAGTATAATCAGATGCAGAAAGACGTATGTTTAGACACTGTGAGTCAGACAGGAGCAGAAATAAAAAAGGATGGGACTGTACTCACTTCTCCCCAGGGTAAAACAGATCCCCCAATACGTCTTCCTTGTCTTCCGGTCTGATCGGCCCGTCTGATGTGTCTGACCCTTGGGTGCTTTCCACGGCACTGTCTCTGTCTGACTCCCTCTCCCTTCCCTCGTCTACCACCTCCTCCTCAGGCTCGTCCACCTCTCCCGGGAACAGCTGGCACTCAGGGACAGGGTCAGGATAGGCCCGTGTGCACATGATGACCGGACACGGCCGCTCCTCCTCAGCACCCTGGAGGAAAAAAAGAAGGTGAATGAAATAAATACATTAACAGACACACTCAAATAATGTTCTATTGTGGCTGTTTGTGTAGACAGTGAAGCAGACAACATTGAACATTCTTCTCTATGATAGATGATTTCTGAAAATTATTTCAAAATATTTTTTAGTGGTTTAACTCTTTCTTTTTTTTTTACTTTACCCTTTTTAAGTATTTGTTTTTCTGATTAGCCTCACTTCTCATGAAAATGTTGTCATGAACCTGCACATTAACACGATGTTAACCAAATAAGGCTGAAAAGGATCAACATTTGACACAGCTTTGAGGTGTGGAGTAAATTTGATATCCCTACAAAACAGAAAAATGTGAGTACATTTCTTCATCTTTACATAACGGAAGTCTGCATTAGAACTAAGGTTGTCCGAATTGTCAATACTTTGAAACTTTTCAATACCTCCTGATTTGAACAGATATAATATATTTTATTTTAATCATCAATAGTATCAAAAATGACTAAAGCTTGAATAAAAAAGAGACTTCACTTAGATTCAAAGGCCTGCAGTTACTGACGTTTCTCAAGTTCCTTTTGGTTTTGTATCATAAAGATGCTGAAGTTATGTCTATGTCTATGGGTTGCTATTTTAAAAAAGAAGAAGAGGAAAATACTGTATTTCGCAGGTCTATTTCATAACAGGAGCATTCATACTGCAACTCAACAACAAACACATTTTTCAACGTTTCTGCACCGTTTCAGTAATTTTGCAAATTGGCCAGTGGGCAGGAGATGGCTTCCAGTTTTTGGGATTTAAAAAAACAAGAAATCTCCCAGTATTGGGTGCCCATGACTTGTATTTTTGTTTCTATTAAAATTGGCATCAACATTGTTTGTTATATACTGGTATCGTGTCAAAGTTTAAAGTTCTGGTATCGTGACAATCCTCATTGGAACAAAAACCTTTTTTTTCAGTTTAATGAGATCAATGCACAAATAAAAAGAATTGCAAGTATTGTCATTTGTCAGTGTCGAATGGATTCTTGTTCATGACCGATTTATCCACTTAGTAAATTCCTTCACTGTGGGAATGGTCTTAAGTTGACAGAGGAGGTCTGGGGGGCTGTAGTGGGTGGGAAAGAGCAAAGGGTCGAGGTCACAGGGCTACGTCTAATTTAATTCTTTAACGGCTCAAATCCAGTCTAATGCAACAGAGAACAAGGACTTATCTCAGCATGACTGAGCGGCTGAAGGAGGAGGGCAGGTGAAGAGGTAATCTGGGAGGGGGAGAGAGCAGGGTGACTAACACAAAGGTGGAGAGGGAGTGAAACGGGCAAGGGTGGAGGTGGGGAATAAAAGACAAGAACAGAGCTTCTAACAAATGAGGAGAAGACTAAGATGGCACATGGAACAAAGCCAGAAGGAAAGGAAAGGGATAAGTATAAGTACAGTGTGAGGTGAGATTAGACAAGAGAGAGAGAGAGAGCGCTGTAAAGAAAGATGTAAGAGAGGCTGAGAGATAATGGAGTAGACTGAGGACAGTCAGGTCGGTATTAAACAAAATTACAGACCAATCAAAGAGCTCAGCCTGAGATTCAGGCAGCTCTCTTCTCTCTCCACAACACACATAGACCATACATCCTGACCTTTCTACCTCAAAGCTCCAGTGATGTAAAGATCTTGGCTGTAAATGTTAAAATCATATGCTGACTTTAGAAACCAGGATAAGCCCGATTCCCAATTATGAGAAAACCGATTTTGCTACCTGGAGAACTCTGAATCCTGTAGCCCTGCATACGTCCTACTCTGGCTTCTGACAGCTTCCGACTAACTGCGCAGGCCTCAGCCAAAGTGACATATCATTTAAACAGACACGGCGGTGGCAACAACAAAAGCCTCTTACAAAGGAACTACGAGGAAACTGAGTTTTGTCTTTCCCATTGTTGGAAATCAGGTGGATTCGCCTTATCTGGAACACAATGTTGGCAGTAGCCACATTGCTGCGGTTTGTGTTGTAAAAAACAAACATCACAGGCGCCTGCACAAACTAAATACAGAAATCAAAACCCGAGATACTTATATTTAGCATGTAAACAAGGAAATGAATCACCAGGTTTCTCTGTGTGTATGTAAATGCAATGTCCTGAATATGATCAAAACGGGGATAATGCGCATCATAAAAAGCTACTGTCTGCATCAATGTGAAATAAAATCAAATCTCTATCTAGATTAGCTGGAAGTAAGTGGGGTATACATCAATGTTTGACAGAAAATCGGTTTTTATCCTGCACTACAACGAGCCAAATGCAACAAAATTTCGTTCTTATCTGCACTGTAAAGTACAAGTTTGAATGACAATAAAGAAAGTCTAAGTCTAAGTCTAAGTCTAAAACAAATTGCTTCATTCCTCTGTTAAATTCATTTGATTATCCTCATCTATTTATGAAGACAGACAGAAAGAGTCTGGGTGGGATTGAATAGTTGAAATAGAGTTTAAAATGTGTTTTTTCAATAGTGTTTCTAAGCATCATAGTGAATGGAAAGTCATGAGAGAAAATGCAAAGTTGGTTGGAAGTTTCTTATGTGAAAGCTCATGAATGGATGAACAGAAAAATGAAGCATAACCGCCTCTAGAGACGAATATCTTCATATGAAAAAAGGGGATGTGTTAAAAAAAGGATGAAGATAAAAAAAAAAAGTGTGAAGATTTAAAAAAAAAAATACATGACAGCTAAAGAGGTTCTGTTTACAGCTTACTGCTCACATCCAAACAAAGCATTCTGAACTGTTTACATCCCTCACTTAAAACCTAAAAACAACAAAAACTATGCATGCCTTTATTAAAACTAAATTAAAAAGAACCTATTCAACTCAACCCGAGGCTCTGTTCTGTAACAAAGAGCCAACATGGGGGCTGGCGCTGAGTCACGCTGAATAATAGGAAGGATAAAGGTCTCTTTAGCATTCCTCAGACCCGTCCCCTTATTTCCCTGAAGCACAAAACGAATCAGTGTGAGGTAGGAAAGCAGGGGCAGACCCCCCTCTGTACGGCACCAAAACAATTCAAGAAACTGAACAAGCAAACACTGCTGGACGTATGACACCTGTTGTGCTCCTTCCCATGAAGAGAGAAGTTAACTTATTTAGTTAGCCAATGAATAAGTACAGAATAAAGGCCTTCAATATGAGCTGTAAAAAGGTCAGATAGACTTCTCGTGCAACACATTCCTGTTTGTTGAAAAGAGATCGGCCAGGTCTCACCCCGATGAAAGCTTTTCTGACATCTGTAATTTCAGGCAAAGACGCTGATCAACACTTATATCTTACAGTGTGTGCATTTTTGAGATAGAAGAGCTTTGCAGTCTGCCAATAGTCTCAGGTGTTCTGACGGGAGTGTTTGTGTTTCTCTGTTTTCATTGCACGCCTATCTGTGTGTGTGTGTGTGTGTGTGTGTGTGTGTGTGTGTGTGTGTGTGTGTGTGTGTGTGTGTGTGTGTGTGTGTGTGTGTGTGTGTGTGTGTGTGTGTGTGTGTGTAGTTTCCTGCTCCAGAACAGCCTGGGGTCTGAAACTGCCAAAACATGAGCCTGCAGTGTGTTTTGAGTTGCTTGATTCCCCAGAGCACAAACACAGAGATCCTGCCAAACAGCGTCCAACCTGCCGCTGGCTTGAAGGAGAGGACGCTAAATTCTGCTGAGCTTTTAACTGAGCTTTTAACCGCCTGAAGCCCGACACATCTTCACATCATCCTTTGGCCTATGAAGGATTCTTGGTATAGCATAACTAATGTATGCATGGAAAAAGTCTGCTCAGAGCTTTTGTAACACAAACTGACTTGTGGGTGTCTGAGCCTTTCTGCGTTTAGTCGTAGTATATTTGTTTTACATGACGGTATTTTCACATATAAACAACTTTCACATCAACAATGAATCTATCGTCATTGCGTCATGAACCAAACTTTTTCAATTTACAAAAATATAATAATATGAACCTTGATTTCAGTACAAATTCATGAAAGAAACGTATGAATTAAAAGAGAATACTCTATTCCTCTTTGGTCATTGATATTCTCCATGGATTCAGATGAGCTAGAAGACCACTACTAGACATGTGCAGAATAGTAATGTAAAAACTATACATCTTCATATCTTTTCTCAGCACAGCATGCGTCCTGTCGAACATCATTTCTTTTCATATTGCACTTCTATATTAAAACAGGAGGAGGATTCCTGATCCGTCTCCGAGTCTGTAGCTGCAGGGTCTGACCTAGTTATAATACAGACCTTCTATCAGTTCTTTCTCGTGTTTCCTCCCAACCTCCCAGGTGAGACTTAAATCAGGGAAGAACGAGATTGAGAGAGGAGAAATTCAGGTTGACAGAAAAAGACATTTGCTGTGTGTTTGAGTCTTGTAATGAGGTTTTTTTTTGGAGGAATACAATATGAATGTGATGTGTGCGACCATATCTGTGTTAACACAAACTAGCAGCCATATGTGTCAATGCCCGCTTTGTCCCCTTCCCCGCATCAGCCAGTCCCTGTCCAGGTGCTGTGTTTAAAGCTGAGCTGAATAACTCCACTGTGACAGGTCTGGTTCATGCCATTTATTACATGTCATGTCTGCGTAAACGAAATCTGGGAAAAAAAACTGGTCAGCCAAGATATACTAGGTAAATAAAAGGTTGAGCAGCAAAACTAGTTTTATGTGTCAGCATAGAAAGGCTCTAACAAAGCCAGGCTCCATTGGCAAATGATACTAATGACATGCTCTGCAGCTTAAAATGAGAAGAAAAGAGTTAGAAGGACTGAAACTAAACAGGAGGGTCACTTGTCAAGAGGAGAGAAATAAAGAAACAGCAGAAATGCACTTTAAACAAGCGCTGTTTTATATCTGTGCTACGACTTGGAAATCCACTGGAAGTTACAGTAACATGCTTTAACCTCCTGATGAACTTTCAAATCAGCTTGGCACCAGCTGTGCATTGATTGAAGCTTTAATAATATATGAGTTATGACAACATGT